GACACAGTGTTAGGAGTGATGGGGCAGTTTTAATTTCTCTACTTTGTGCATCTTTGTCTCATCTGTCATCCCTCCATTCATTTTCCTCCTTTTGTCCAAATCAGGGTGGAGCCTATTTCAGCCTATCCTTCCGCCTGTGACTTGGAAATCAGTCTGATTATAGTTTGTTGAAGGCTCTCTCACATTGTTGAGCAGAAGAGGAGGCTTGTCCGAGGAGCTACAGTTGTATAGTGCAAAACTTGTTTTTTCCTGCCGTGATGCGTGAATGAGGAGTGCTACACCTCTGTAACATACAAACTATCCTCAAACTGGGAGTCTACACAAAAAATGAGTTTTTTTTCCATATCGAAGAAGAAATAACTGCTTTGCAGAGGAAGCAGCTGTGCCGCATAAATTTAATTGTCATTGCTTTTAAATAGCAGCCTGGAGCAACTGTCTCAGTATGTTAAGTGCCAGTTGCAATGACTCCTTGCTCCTTCTTTTTCATCCTCATCTCCTCTGCTCGTGTCTCAGGCACGATGGACTAAGTGCACTGAGAGGATGCCAAGGAAAGGAATCAAGGATGTGCAAAACTTAGTAACAAGAAAGTAGGATAGAAGGCAAAAACAAAACTTTGACACCTACACAAAAATAACTAACCTCATGTGGAAAATAATGCAGAAAATGTTCTTTAAACTCATGGCTGAAAAAACCCTAAAGATTATTAATGATACTCACCCTTTTGGATTGTTCAAATTAATTACATGGCCATCTCCTGTGTTCACTCTGCAGCTAAAGTTTGTCAGGGGTGAATGTAAAAGCCACTTCACGTGGATTCTGACGTCACCAAGAACCACAGCGGTGGGATTAACTGACAGTGCGAGCCCTGTGGTGTGGGAGGATGACCAGAAATGTTACAAAGCGCTTGTAGCCCAGCAAGCAAAAAATAGACAAGCACATGATCTCAACAGATAGAAGCACAGATACCATAGAGGTTATTTAATGCAGGAGCATTTAATGTGATCTGAGCAAAAAAATAAGAAAACAGCCCAAAGAAATAAACTGGAAATGCAGCCTTTGTTGTCAACTATAGATTGGTTTGTACTTTTTTTTGTTGGGATCAATGGGACTGATAAACTTGGCTGATCATATATATTTCTGGGGTCCATGCCATTTAATGATTTATAAACAACCGAAATTACTTTAAATTAAAAATGCAGGGAGCTGAGAATTGGAGTTCAGTCGCATTTTGAACTAACTGTAGCTGTCTCATGGTGTTTCCAAAAACAGCACTCCAGTACTAAACTCTACACGAATTAAAGACCTGAGTGAGCTTCTCCAGATCTTGCTGGGGCACAAATCTCCCAGTTTGACTATATTTCAAAGATGCCTGACGTCAGCCCGATGCCCGACGTCTCTGAGGAATCTTTCCGTTTTGAATCTACCGATGTTGAGATAAGGGTCACTGTAGAAGCAGACCGTGTCTGATAGTTTGACCTATAATATAACTTGTCAGTGAAACATATAAAATGGATTTCAATGTGAAGCTTGGATTAATTCTTTGACATTTACCTGAACAGCTGCTGCTGCCAAATAAAAAAAAAAAACCCTCAGTACAGCTCGTCCTTTTTCTTTTTACGTTGCTATCAACATTAACAATGCATCTGTTCTGTCCAAGAACTCCAGTAAAGTATGAGAGTGATGAGAAGAGACTGTGCTCCTGTTTCTGAGCAAAACTTTAAATTGCTCATCAAAAATTTGGAAACAATTGGAGATAATTTATCTGAATTTCAGGAGCGGGACCAAGGCTCCAAACACACCCCTTCCGGGTCTTATCTATATATGACCCCCCAGTTCTACAAGATGTTTGTTCTCATTTTCGTGCCCCATCCTCCCCCCTTTTTTTCTTTCACTTTTTCAGTTGTCATTAGTACATCGGGATCTGCCAGGCGAGACGTCGCTACCGATGGAGACAAACTCAGACCTCCATGAAATGATAAAGTTATGTTAATCTTCCTACTATGAAGTAAAGTGTTTTATTTCTGAAACATTTTTACAACTGTCTTTGTGCTATTTGAGGTAAATAATGCTGTTTTAATAATTCTCCGTGGTTAAACAAGAACTTTAAATCTTTGTGAGCCATATTTTTATCTTCACACTCACCAGAAGTGAAATAAGTCACAGCGTGTGAGAGAAATTTATTGGCAATGTTTTGAGAGCTAGATGGGCAGCATTTTTTCATTGGGGTTCTAACGCCTGCATCAAGTATCATCAGCCATAGTTAATCTTATTCTAACACTTTACTGGCTCCTAACTACTCTATTCTAACTAATGAGGGAAACAAAGTGGGAAAATGAAACAGATGGGATAGAAAAGAACAGACACACGCTGCCCTTCATGGATTTAGGAAGTGTGATTCCACTTTAGAGAAAAAAAAAAAGAAATTAACCTGAGCACAGAACCGTGACCTACCGTCTTTGCAGTGGTAGTCCACAGACAGATAGCTCTTCAGCTGAGGACAAGGGTCAGCAAAGGAGTTCGCAACTTCAGCGATCTGGCAGACCTGTCGGCCGTGGCAACGAGCTGGGAATCACAGAAGAATATGATTAGCTGCTGCTAGCACACACTATCACAAACACACACACATGTACGCTCCAGTGGTTTCAGCAGTGGGAAAAGTTTTGCATATGTTCATATCTTAGTTCATGCTTTGACGACAATATGCTTCTTAGCTACCAAAATCAAAGGCAAATAAATCCCTTCAAGCTCACCCACAGAGAGGGGCTTCATAATCTTGAGACGCTAAACAATATGAAAAGAGTTGTGATAAACTTGAGATTATACTTATGGTTTGTAGAAATGAACAATATCAACATTTTAATGCAGTGACCGGGCTGCAAGAGAAACAGCAGCACTGATGTGTGCCGACATGCTGTGTTCATGTCACATTTTTTTTTATCATAATTATCCATCCATCCATTGTCCAATTCAAGGTTAAAGGGGTGCTGTCTCAGGGCAAAAGACGGGGTACCGTGACATGCGAGACATGCTCACATTCATGCTGAGGGCCAATTTAAAATCATCGAAAACTTCCAAATGTGTGTGTATTTACTGCAAATGTTAGTTATGCCAATATAACTACAAGAAACAAGAATATAGCCAGTATATTTTTTGCCGTGTACACATCTACTATTTGGCTTTACCAAAGATCGATGGCCTAAAACGTTGATTCTGTTTATCTGGACGTAGTGTTTTCAGCGGGAGAAACATCACTCGCCCAGGTGACTTCTTCAGTCTCAGCTGACTGCAAGTTTCCAACATTGTAAACAGCACATTTGTACAATAACTGAAACTAGCACCACTGAATGAACAATGGGCTGTGAGGTCAGTTTCTTGAGCATTAATATGCAAATTGTCATGA